GTGTATATATATATATATATATATATATATATATACACACACACACACCTTTCCCTTGTTTCATAATCTTGCCATCTTCTGCTTTCATTTATTTTTCTGCACATGTGACATGCATGCATAGGCATGCAGTCCTATTCTGCAGGTGTCATTTTCTGTCACCTCCTGCCACCTTAAATCTAATGTCTACATAGTCTGAGGAATCGTAAAAACAAATGTAATTATTTCACATCTCTGCTGAAAGAAACCACAGGCTTCCCAACTCCCTCAGAATCAAACCCTGCAGGGCAGGCATCCTGCTTGCATCTGGCCTCATGTCATGCCGTGCTCACTGATGCTTCAGAGCTTCATACTTGTTGTTCCCATGCTTGGAAGCTTCCCCACTATTGCCCATATGACTGGCTTCTTATCACTCACAGCTTAAATCACCTCTTCAGAGTCTCCATTGAATTTCTCATCATATCTGTTTCCTTCTTTCTTTTACTTCATGTCTATTCCTAGCCTACACCTTATTATCTTACATTTTCTCTTGTGGCTATTGTTTATATTTATTCATCTGTCTTTTCTTCCAAAATGTAATCTCTAAGAGAATAGGGATTTTGTCTGACTTGTTTCATCTTTTATCCCTGTCGTACTGAACAGCTATTACTCTATAAACTCAAAATGTTTTTTTGAATGGAAAAAGAATTTGTGTTTTTACATATAATATTCTATGTGTTGAGTTTCCAGCATTTACTGTGTCTAAATATTACTTACCAAGTAGGAGAGAGTCCATGTTGAGTGGCAACATGAGTGATATAATATATTATATCTAATATAATAGAATATATAGAATATATTCTATAGAATATAGAATATAATAGAATATATCTAATATAATAGATATAATATGTAATATATTATGCCTAATATAATAGATATAATATATTACATCTAATATAATAGAAATCATTATATATTTTGGAGTTACTTATTTGGTTAAATAGATGTCAGGATAAATCTCAGGCAGATGTTAATAGAAACTTATAGATTTAGAAATAGAGAGAATTTTTGGAAGGTTTTTTAAAGGACACATCGACTACATTTTTCAGCTTTTACATTTTGACTCGTGACGAGACTTTAGTGTGATCTTATGCTTTGGCAACAACTAATGCTTTTTGTTGTTATTCCCTAGGGTTTCTTTGTGTCTATCATCTACTGCTACTGCAATGGTGAGGTGGGTCTGAAGGAACCTCATACTTATGGCGGGTCTAGCTCAGAATAAACTTGTAGCTGGCCCTCATGATGTGGCGTTAATCTCTTTAGGATCCTCAGGATTACATGGCAGAATGGGAAGGGAGAAAGGAGATATTTTAATTACAAGTAATTTTGACAAAACAAGATTAATTAATGTAAATAAGCTAGGGTTTTCCCCTTCTCATCCTTTTCAGTATCAATTCTGTTGCAAGCCCCAATATCAAAATATTTGTTGGAGTGTGGGTTGATAACGGATGTTGTTGCTACAGTGGGCTTTGCTTAAATGTATATTCAATTTCAAGTTCTAAAAGGAGCTTAAGTATACGTTTCCCTGGGACAGTTCTATCAGCACACTTAAAAAAAATTGAGGTGACATTGCTTTATCACATTGGATCAGTTTCAGGTTTACAACTTCACACCTCAACATCTGTATACGTCACATATGCCCACCTACCTCTAATTTCCACCTACCTCCATCCAGCAGATCTCCTCTATCCATTTCACCAACACCATATCCCCCACTTGAACATTTGACATTTTTTAAACCATAAGAGGGTAATGGGACAATGTCAATTAATTGAGGAGTTGGCTAGAAAGAAATAACTTTACTGTTCCTTGGGTGGCATCAGCTTAGCAGGTTTCTGCTGTCCTCACTGAACTCACAGAGAAGCCCCTTAGGGAAGTGGCAATGGCAGTAGGCTGGAAACAAGACCCCCCCCCCCCTTCTCCCCCATTAGGGATGCGTCTGCAGTGCTTGCTGCTTGGCCCACAGTCCTTTCCCTCTGGGACTGCTTCAGTGTGTCTGTACATAGAAAGCCTGGTGGTTACATTTCAGGTTGAGGGTCTTGTGGCCAGTTCTCGGCCACAGTGGCACTATTTCTTTCTTTCTCTTTCTACCGGAGTCGTCTTTTCCCCTCACCTACAGTCAGATACTTCTGTTGACTGCATTTCAACTTCTACCAAAATACTAACCTGGACAAGCCCCTTTTGTTTCTGAAGCTCAGTTTGCTCATCTCCAGTAATAACACCTTTGAGGGGAAGAGAGAATATATACTAAAGTTCCCGGCACTCAAGATGATCCTCAGTGTTTGTAACAATCCTTGAAATCAGGGCAGATGTCCGTCTAACTAGGCGGCAGGGTATCCCTAATGGTTTCTGATCCACAGTCTGGTTCCTTTGACTTAGGTTCAGTCTGAGATGAAGAAGTTGTGGAGTCGGTGGCATCTCTCCATTGACTGGAAAAATGCGCCCCCGTGTGGCGGCCACAGGTATGGCTCCGTGCTCACCACTGTGACCCACAGCACCAGTGTGGTGCTCATCTCCAGCAAGGCGACCAAGACCGCCAGCCGCCAGCCGGACAGCCACGTGACTCTACCCGGCTATGTCTGGAGTAACTCGGAGCAGGACTGCCTGCCACACTCCATCCACGAGGAGAACAGGGAAAGTAACGGGCAGCAGGGAGAGGGTATTCCAATGGAGGAGTGCTCCAAGTCAGTGGAATTTCGCTCATACTCTGAAGGAAGCAAAGGAGAAACAGAAGTTGTTCTCTGAATTAACATCTGGCTTTGAAGAGCTGGTGCATATGGTTGCGTGGAAGAAGTTAGTGGTATTCTTTTGAGTCCCAGAGCTGAAAATTTGTGAAGTTTCAGCCTTCCTGAATTCTTTTTTTTTTTTTTCTTGTTGCTCTTTGGTAGAAAATATTTTCATGGTTTGATTCTGAGTTTCATAAATATCACTGTAAGTATGATAAAGATCATGTAGTATGTTCCATTTTCCCTTTTACTACACTAGCATACTCCTTTTCTCTTCATCATTTGAATGGCTTCTAGCACTGTATTCGTTTTGCATGGGAGCAATTAGGATCTGAAAATGTTAAAAAAACTAAAGGTATAAGAACGAGTATGTGTTTCAAAGTAAGATGGTTGGATTTTTGATTTAATAATAAATTTGTGACAGTTAAATTTGTTTCTTTCTGGGAACAAAGTTACTCAATATTGCCCATATTCCATTTTTTGAATATCACTTCTGGAACCAGCTAAATATCAGGTCTTCCTTCATTCTTCCTTTGTAAAGCTTGACATGTCTCAGCTTTTCTCAACCAGTGACCCTGGGCTTGTAAATATTTGATTGTGATTATATCACCAGTAGATCTCACAACATTTTTGCTTCTCCCCTTCTTTGTTCTATTATTGTATTTCAGATTGCGTGTGGGCTAAATTAAATGTTTTGAAAACACACTGTTGGTCACTTTTTACAATTTTCACTCAACATCTCATTTTTTCCTTTGGACACCAACCAATTATCCCTTCTCCAAATCCATAGAGCTCATCATACTGCTCCAGTACTTTACTAAACTTGAAATTTTATCACCATTTTGATGATAGAATTACCAATAATTATGGGTATGTAAAAAAATATGCCATGATTACAGTTTTTTATAAAAGCATTTTTATCCCTCAGTATTTCATTGCTATCAGCATAAAAAAACTTGAATCTAAATTCTTCTTTTAATTCCACCAAAAAAAAAAAAATCTAACTAGAAATACAGAGATCTACATCCTGTTTCAATAGACCATGGAATATCTGCCCAAGTGTTGTTGCAAAAGTGAATTTCAGCAACTTTATTTTTACTCATCTCTATGGCATTTAAAGATAGCTTTTAGGCAGGTTTTCATTTATTCACTATTATAAAACCACTTAGAGCAATGGCAATATCTATAAATGGTGCAGAATGCAGGCAAAATGGTAAACATTCTGACCATTTACTGATTCCTTCATGTAATGCTGTTAGCATTTAACATTCAGCTCTACTTCGACAATCTCTTCTAAAACCACATTTCACTTTGGGGGTTTTTGTAGTTCATTTGCGTAGTGATTTCAGTGGCTTAAAAAAAGGAGCACAAATTCATCATGAAGCTGTCAAATTTAGCCTTTTTTTTCTGTAGATATGCAGTGATTCTTGCTGATTCAAGACCAGAGTGTGCCGACCTTTACCTCCCCAGAGCATGGCAGTAGATATCTTTACTTGAGTTGGCAAAAGACAGGCAGCCCCAATTCAGCTTAGTTTGAGCGGCTCTGGGCACACTCCTTCCTGCCTGCTCCATCCCAGTCAGGCATCAGCACATCTTGTATCAAACTGGTATAGCACAGGAGGGATGCCTAAATCAAAATTCTAAATCAGAAAATTTATTGATATGTCAATGATATATAATTTATGTTAGAATATGTACCTCAGACATTCAATTTGAGTATTGCTTTAGTTAATATAGTTCAGAACCTGGGCATAAGAGGTTCTAGGAGGTGTTAAGGAACATCACTTTACTCTTTATCTCCAGTGATATCTCAATAATCAAAGTCCACATACTTGTTTATGAATAATATGAAAGGACACATAATTGCTATAAGAATGGGTAGAATCTATGACCATAATTAAGAAGAAATAAATTCAGATATAAAGACATAGAGAAATAATTTCCCTTTTCCTCATTTTTTACTTTATGGTTGTAAGTATAATTGTATGTATATTTGTATACTGTTGAGTGAAATTGGTAGAAAAATTATGGGTATAGTAATTAAATTACAATATAGCAAATTCAGATCAATTACATAAATACAGTAAGTATATAGTGATGTTATTAAGAATTAAAAATTAAAAACTAACCAAAGAAAGGTTAATTAACTTAGAAATACATTCAAACTACATTAAAGGCACATCTAGAAGAATATTTCCATGTTAACTGTGATTAGTTGTAAAGTTTCTGAATTGAGTTAAGACTCTGAAACCTCTAGAACATCTTTAAAAGACACTATATTGGTAAATGAAATGTCCTTATAGGATAAAGTGTCTAATGTTAAATTAATGGCGTGTTGAGAAATTCTACTAAACTATAGAAAGGATATTAAAGCAAAAAACTGTAACATATGCACATTTATATGCAGTGACATTAAGAATCTATCAAAATGAGTCATTATCCCTAAATAAGAGAAAAGGAATTTAATTAAGATTTCAGAATGGTGAGGCCCTAATGAGAACTGGTCAGTTACTTCTTTTCATGTTGTCAATTCAAGAAAATAATGAGACCTTGGTGAATAGAAGGGCCTGAACAGGAGTTAAAATATGAAATTCACTTTAATGTAAGTGATACCACCAATGAGCAGAATGCAGAAAATCTTAGATAGCTTGTCTTTATTGATAAAAAAAAAAAGCAATATTTCTTTGTCTTGCTTTAATCAGTCCTTATTCAATCCCAGTGGGTTAAGAGTTCCACACTAGATGTAAAAACTCAAGACTTAAATGAGTTGCTGCTGGAACAAAATATTTCCTTCTTTCATATGAGTGTTTATACAAGAAGTACTAGATCATATATATAGCTCAATCGGATGGTTTTGATTTGCAAACAATGATAGCTCTTTTTAAAAAAGATTTATTTATTCATACAGAACTGGGGTATACAAGCCAGAGGTGCAGGGGGAGGTGAGAGGATTCACCAGAGACAGAGCGGGGAGCAGAAC